CTTTTAATAAGTTTAACTTAAACCTATAATTATCCTTTTAATATTATATTAATAAGATATTAAAGTTAAAAGTTACTTATAACTAAAAAGTATAAGTAATTTTAATTAAAAATACTAGTTTTCTTATTATACCTTATAATTATTATAAACCTTAAAACTTAAAGTATTAAGCTAAGGAGGGTTATAAGCACTATATATAATATACTTATTATAGTTATAAGTATAATAATAAGGGTATTATTATCTTTAAAAGTTTATAAATTTTTTTTTAATATATAATTTTTATAATTAACTTATTATAGCTAATTATTTATTATTAAGAAGTATTAATTATAGGTTTAAGTTAAACTTATTAAAAGAAAAATAGTTAAAATAAGAGTTATATAAGTCTTAAGGATAAGACCTAATAAAGGGGAGATATTATATTATAATCCTTATAGTTATATTATATAAAACCTATAAATTTCCCCTAATTAATTAATAACTTATACTTTTTCTTTATTTTTATTATAAGCTACTTAATAAGACTTATAATTAAACTTATAACTTATATATAAGTATTAACTTATTATAGTAAGTTAATATAAGTATATAAAATATATTTATTAATACTTTTATAAATTCTAGCTTACTAGCTATTAATATAACTTCTTTATATTAATTAAGCCTAATATATATTAAATCTACTATTAAGAGATATAATACTTTAATAACGCTTAGTTTACGCCCTATATAATCTGCTAATAATAAACCCCGCATGGCTAGTTTAATATAGTTAGACCTAATTATTATAATAATATAGGTAAAAAAAGCATTAATAAAGGATATTAAGTAAAATAAATACTAGTATTGGGTTTTAAGGTCTTATAAGACTATATAAATAAGAGATATAGTGCTAAAGCTCTTAAATTGTATTTATTATAATTAAGTTTCTAGTATACCCTTTACTATATAAAAGGTGCTTTTTATTCTTATTAACAGGGAATTAGTGCTGGGGTCCTGGGAAGTTAGAAAGGGCGTATAGACTAAATATTCTTATATTAACTTAAACTCCTAAAGATCCGAAAGGGGAAGGTGCACGGGCCGCAACAGTTAGTATTGGGCCCATTACCAGTAGTAATTGGTATAGTAGGGTTTCAGGGTTGGCACGGACGGAAAGTAGACAACCCGACGGGATTCTGATGGTCCTTTGTACAGTAAGTAGGTAGGGATGGAAAGAGCTCGATGGCCCCCCGAAGCAAACTAGAAATGGGAGGGGCTGAGGAAGAGGACCAAGGATGCATAAGATTTAGATCATTAAATAAACTAGACTCCGTATTAGATACTTAGACTGCGGAATTTGGACTTGGAGAAAAGCAGAGGTTTATGATATTTCTATTTCCTAACTTAGTAGCGATATTCCTCCTTTTGCATCTTGTGAGACCGACTGTTTGGCGCCTCAGGTCTGAAGTGGGCAACTAGCGGATAAACACTGTTCCGTGAATCATTTGTCAAATGACTATAAGTTGTTGGTCCTTGCGGAAAGGCCAACTTACCCTCTTTTACCACTGCGACATTAACAGCTGAACTTGGAATAATCTCTCCTTTCCTTTGCTGGCACGCCTGAAACTACCGAATCTTGATCAACCAAACCGCCGCAAAGATGATTGAAGATATGGTCGAGCTGATTTCTAAATATTGTTCGCCCGGGCCGCCTGCAATGCAACAGATAGAGAGCAAGGATCCCGACATTCTTCAATACTACCACGAATGGGGATTCAACATCTATCGCACATATTACGGCCCAGGCTCCGACGAGGCTTGGAACGCGCTTCTATATGCTCTGAAACACCAGACGAGACTGGCATTCGGATATTACGACGGTCGAGAGGATGCAGATCAACGCCACGTCGATATACTCAAGAACTTGTTCTATCTCAATGCCCGTGCCGATAAGTCTCTACTAGATGGGCTCGATGCCGAGGGTATTCGCAAATTCTGCCAGCACGAAAACACGGATAAGAATCGAGTCATGTCAGATAGCACGCATGGCTATATATTACTTGCCGACGAATCAGTATTGAAAGATGTTTCTGAGCGCGAGTTTGTCGTGAAAGCGGTGTCCCTGAACTGGGTACGAGGGCATCCGGGCTGGGGATGGATGAGGATCCCAACAGGGTATCTGTTGGATCTATGGCAACTACTGATGCTGAACTCGATGCGAACTGAGTTTGCGATCGACTTCGATGGACCTGAAGAGGATCTTGGTGATTATGTCTGGCCTGGGGATATGGCTGTCAATAATACAGGGTCTTATTCTGAGATTCGCCGATTTGGGAAGCACTACAGTGGCCAATCCCCCAATCGTTCGGATTAATGCGACAAGGAAGTTCAGAGGCTACGGTTGTATTCAACAGTATCTATCTACCTAGATTGTAGTATACAACTAAGATCATACCCTAAACTAGGAGGTACCTCCCATCTCCGTGTCCCCATCTCCAATTTTAGGGAAGCCGCTGGTATCAATCCTAAGGTTCCTGCCGCCCCTCAAGTTCTTCTCAAAGTTGTCCATGTTAACGCGCATATCTTTAGCCAGCTCATCGTCAAACCCACGCAGCAGCCTCCGAGTCTGTGCGATTTGGGACTCCACATTCGTCCTCATCGAAGCCACAACCTTTTCGTAGTGATCCTTCAGCCACTCGATGAAGTAATCAGCGAGCCGTACCTTCTCGTTCGGGAACCTCTTGTTGTAGACCCCCTCCGCAAATTTCAATTGCGTATGGATGTCCTTGACAACTTTGTTGAGCTTCTCCTTGGCTGTGGGCGTTGCCAGGTACCAGAACACGCTCAACGTCGCCCGGATCCGTTTGACCACTTTCTCTTGCTCCGCTTTGATCGTTTCCTTGGATTTCTCCCCGTCCCTTTCCACGTATTTTTGCAAGCTATTCTCAGCAGGAAATCGGTTAAAGCGCATGACCTGAGTTATTAGCCGGTGAACTAATAGAAAGAGCATACCCAGAAGGCCAGGAAGGAGGCAAAGGTTAAATAACTGAACTTACATAATTCTTGGCTTGATTGATTTCCGCGTCGACAATCATGAAGGCTTTGTAATTCCTTTGGCTTCCTAAACACTCGAAGGTGCGATCAAAGAGTCGTTCGAACTGGAACAAGCCATCTTCGCTTCCAGGAAGATTAGGCACGCCGGGCTCTACTGCGAAGTTTATGTCGTTTATTCGTTCCCAAAATACAATGGGAATAGGACCGTATTTTGATGCAGCGCCCGAAGGGAGTCTACCAACCTCAATTAGGCACTTTCCTTGCTAACAAACCAAGGCATGGGGAGTTTCTTACTTTCCAATAACTGAATTTTCATACCAAGCTCGAAGAATACTTTTATCAACAAGATGTTCCACTAGCCACCGATGTTAGAGTGTGTTAGAAGGAAGGACTGACAACCGAGGGGGTAGCGCACTTTGTAACTTATAAAGTTCAAGCATCTTTTTAATGAACTTCCTCACCGTCACAATAGGGATCCAGCAGTCATCTCGCAATCTAATCAGCACTACCTTCTCGAGTAGCTCGTTATCGTCATCTTTTATGTCCGCTAACGTGGGGTTCTGTCTCCGTCAGCTTTCGATGAAACCGTCAGGATGTTGAAGACTTACATAAGGAACCTCGATGTCGTATATATTTTCACCTGCAGGCGCACCTGGGACCTTAAACTTAAGCTTATTATCGTCTGGACCACGTTCCTCTAACGAGTGGCGTTTGAACTGGTGATGGTGTGAATGGGAAAGCTGATGAGAATGACGGCCAAACAAGGTAACATGGCGACGGCTGTTGTCGCCGCTTAGGTCGCCATCATCAAGTGGACAATCTTCATCCTTTTCGCAAAAGCTAGTCTTGCAGTTCATGAGATTCGCCTTGGTCTCGCTGTCACCCGTCAGGTAGGCTCTGATCCTTTTCGCCCAATAGTGTGGATGGCAAAGGATGTCAAGAGCTATTTCTGAAGGTCCTTGCCAATCTAATATCCAGTTTTGTCGGATATAGGTGCTGATGTAGGTGTACTGGAGGTACTCTTCATCCATAGCATCAACGCCGTCGTTCCAGATGTGGACTTGCTGGGCTAACATGACATCGCTGCCTGTGTGTGTTATGAGATTCCGGAGCAATAGGAAAATCGTGATATCTTCAATCGGGTCGTCTCGGACCACCAAGTCGGTTGTAGATCGCTTGCCCAAGACTTTGTCGGGGTTGGGGCATGTCCCGCCTTTGACCCAATCGTCCATAACTTTCCTGTACACCGCGATCTTCTCGTTGGGTACAAGCACCTCCTCGGAGTAGTCCGTTTTGCAGCAAGTAGCTTGTCCTCCTCCTAGCTTGGAAGTGCAGGTGTGAAAGGCTGTATCAAGGGCCACTCGTACGCGATCGCTGGGGCATCCGCTACGACAGTAGCCAGCAAGATCGTCTGCATCTGGTGCTGGACCATAGTCACGACGGACTTGACAGTCAATGAAACGAAGACCAGGCTTGGTGTTGCAGCAGTAGTTGCGCATCTGTACGCCGATGATGGGAGTGCCGAGGTCGTTCTTGAGATCATTGCATTTCAATGCACCGGAGCCTGACCCAGATGAGGCCATGGGCCAGTTGTAGTAGTCGCCAGGACACTCGGGGCTAGTGTTGCACTCTGGGTACGCGCCCCATCGACAGGTATCGTAAAGCTTCATGCTCACGGTGTTGGGCTTGCAGCAAGCCGTCTGTACGCGTGGTGGATCCTCGCACTTCATCGAGTTTGTACCAATCTCGACCATGCCGCTAGGGCAAGATGATTCCTTCTGACACTTTCCATTGCCATGCCCCCACCAGCCACATATTGGGATGTCCTGATCGGGAGGACAGCAAAATGAATGGATGCCATCACCGCCGCAGGCTGTCTCATCATACATCAGCTCGTTTTTCCGAGCCCCCGGGTCACTACGGCCGACATGTACCCAGCCTTTAGGACATGGTTCCTTGCAGTTCGTCCACCGGCACTGCTCGTAGGGCTTCTTGACAAAATCGGCCGCCTTCTCATCATCGTCCAAGGAGCCGCTCGTCACTTCGCGGCCGAGTACTTTGGCCAAGGCCTTGTTGTACCGGGCATCTTTGGTATCGTGACTGATAGCCCATACCATGACGCCACCAAGGCATAGTTCTCCAGCACGATCAACCTTCATCTTGAGTGTATCGGCGTCATCATATGACACCCATTCCTTTCCCCAAGTGACAACCTTGACAGCTTCTTCTTTGTATAACTCGGGCTTCAAATTGCGGTTCCGGACCTCAATGTCGATCTCCGAGTTCAGCAAGATACCTTTCTCTTGGCTGCATTCGCCAGCGTTGGCCGGGTCGCTAAACAAACAGCCTGGCTTGCGACACGCCGCTGATTGGGCCGTAAATGCGCGGCCATAAAAGCCAAGGCCCATCACGACCTTATCAGGCTTGATATCATTTCGCCAAAGAAGGTCCAATGCCAGGTCAATCTCCGTAAGGTTGGTGTGCGCGTTGAGGTAGGGTTTAGTCCAGTTCGCCTTCTGGTCCCATGCTCCGTGAAGGTCGTAGGACATGATGTTGAAGAAATCGACGGTGGGTTCCTACCAACAGACCTCAGGTTAGCTTCTGGAGCCATATAGGTAGTGCATTCGTCCACAAAATCCACTTACCAGTTTCTTGATGTCAAAATACTGTAGATACCAGTATGACGCGGGTAGAGTGATAGTCAAACCTTTGTCTCCTGTCCCCATGACCTTCTTCAATGAAGCCATGAAGACAGGAAAGTTCTTGTAGTCAACCTCTCGACCAGATCGCTCTTCAGCTACCGGGTACTCCCAGTCCAGATCAAGTCCGTCAAACTTGTATGTTGCCAGAAAAGACTCAACTGATTTGAAGAAAGTTCTTTGACGCGCTGGTGATGCCGACAGATCGGAGAAAACTCTCGCTGTAGGACCGGGATCGTTGAAAGTCCACCCGCCAATGGCAAGGTAGATCTTGAGATTCGTATCTTTCTTCTTCAGTAGCATCAGGCGTTCATACATGTCCACGTCCTCGGGGTCATTGGCTTCGATTAAAAACGTGTTGGGGTTGATGGTACCGAAGGCAAAGTTGATGTGTGTATATAGACCGATGGGAATCTGCTCAGGCGAGAAGACCTCACAAGGCCGGTTCTTAGCCCAGCCTTCAAAGTAGCCCACGACACGCTGCATGTCGCCGCCTTTCTTGCAGCTCGGCCGTTTAACCGCCTTGCTTCCACAGAAGTCTTTTGTTGTCTAGTTTTATCGAGTTACCTGTCAGTCTGCGAAATTACGCGATGCTCTGTACTTACACCACAGTATCCATGCTTGGAGCAGCAGACATTGAGGGGGCACTTATCGCTCTTGGCCCATTGCTTGCCGAATCCTGGGTTGCAGTCCGACTTTCTATCACAGTCGGAACGACACACTGATTTCCCGCAATCTGCTTCGCGTCAGCACAGGGACATGACAAAGAATGCGTGATTGGATCCCTTACAGTCAGGGCCAAATCCGCAGTTTCCAGACTTGTTGCAACATCCTTGCTTGCACTTTTTGGTTGCGCTACAGGTCGTGTCATCTGCTGCTACATACAAACATAACAACAGCACGACGAAAAGCCAGGCGCGAAAACGCATAGTTGTCGTCCCAACTGGCACTTATACCTGGAAGATAAAGGCAAAATCGTCTCAAGTGACAATGATAGTGTGCTGTACAAGGAGGTAGCAGACCAAAGCAACGTGAGATTGTGAGCGAGTTTTTCCGTAGTAATAGAATGAAGATGTATACAGTCAATGATATCAATTGATAGTGGATTGGTCTGCACGTTTCAAGATAGCATAGATCACAAGGGGAAAAGTTTTATGTAACTCTTGGCGAGACAAAGGCGTACAGCACATTCATTTGAGTAAGTTCTTCACTATTCTCAAGGCCACAAGAAGCGGACCGGTGATTTGTTCGGTGATCTGCCTCAGCCGGGAAGATCGGAGGCGCTTCGAATTGTCCCTTGTTTAAAATTGACTTCGAGTAGTGGATTCCCAAATCCCAACCAAGCTGGCAAACCGTAACAATTACCCTCCCTCGACGGGGCCATGGGCGGACCCTGGAAATCATGAGTCAATGACCCTTGCTAGCCTCCACCAGCCGGAACTTTTTACCAACACAGCGTTACATTGTGGTATCAACCGTGAATGCCAGGCCAAGAATGGGGACCTAGCAGCAAAAATCATATGCTCATCCCCTAGTATCGCTTTGTTGAGCCGTCTTGGCACTGTTGGTTACTGTTCAGCTTTTTGCAAAGTTCCTCGTATTGCCAACATGCTGGCCTTTTGCATCGCGGAATGAGCTCCGTCCCCTCGCCATCGCTCTTCCACATGAGCGATTAATTGCTTTTGACTTTCTCCCCTGCATGGTTGGCAACAAACATGCCAGAAATAAGCTTAGTTCATCGTCTGACAAATTTCGGATGCGACAAGGTCTGAAGGATGAATTAGGTTAGAGACCTCGGCCCGCTGTGGAGCTCGTCATGGATTGACCCTTCTTCCAAGTCCGCTCTGTTGATCAATTGACATCACTCACTCACTTGCTTCTCTCCTCGTTCAACGAAAGTTGCCAAAGGACCTTTCCAAGCAACCATGGTTGGCTTTCAGCGTCTTGCCCTCTCTCTGGGCTTATGCTTGCGCGCAGTCGCCGCCTTCAAGATTTACAACGCATCTGATCTCGAGGATCGCAACGTTGGCGATGCTTGCGTCAAGGCTATGTCTGCAGATATTGCCTGCCACGAGCATATACACTCCTTCATGCAGCCGCGTTATCGCGGATCGCTTCACAACGTAACTCTGACAGATCAGATTTGCACTGGCACTTGCTCTGCGTCGCTTCGAAGCTGGTTCAATACCGTTGTAGATGCATGCGCTGATGAAGACTATGGGGGCGGTGTCCCTCAACGCTATGGTGGCTACATCTGGTCTGGCTGGAACGAGACATGTGTCAAAGATCCCAAAACCAAGAACTATTGCAATGGTGAGTTGCAGTTTCGTCTCCGACCATTGGAGGCTTTGTAGCTAACGGTTTATTGTCAGATATCATCAGCGAGTTCACCGAGCTGAAAGATGGTGAAGAGATGCCCCGTGACGAGCTCTGTCATATTTGCTACCGCCGCCGCCTCGCGATCATGCAATCATCATCGTACTCCATTTACGACCACTTCTACCAGTCGCAACTCGAGAAGGTATACAAGACTTGCGGCGGCTCCGGCCCAACCGAGATGCCACCGCCGCCTAAGGTCGAGAAACCCGAAGAATACTGCCTCACCAACAAGTACTACACCACCAAAGAGGGAGATACCTGCGATTCAATTGCGAGAGCGAACCCAGGCGTTGCAGGTGTATACTTGTACATGGGCAACCAGGAGCTCATCGGTGACTGTCGCGACATTCCCGCAGGCATCAAGCTTTGCCTACCTACAACGTGTCCCATTTACGTGGTCAAACCTGGAGATACCTGCTGGTCTATCGAGCGGTCATTGAAAGTTATAGAGGACACTGTTGAATACTATAACTCATGGATTAATGTCGACTGCACCAACCTACAGAAAGCGACCGACTTCTATGGCAAGCCAATCTGCATTGGACCCTTCGGTGCTGGTTCCCGATCTGCTTCATCCGATGCTGTAGCCAAGACCCCGCTCCCATTCAGCAGTGCCAACGGCCCTCAAGTGGTGCGTATGGAACCGCCTGAGAAGGCCGAGGTAGCTGATGGGACGACACTAAAGTGTGGACTGTGGCATGTCATCAAGGAAGGAGAATCATGCGCTGATATCTGCAAGGCACATGAGATCTGCAAGGAGGACGTCATGTATGAGGTTAACCCAACTCTGTCCCGAAACAATGACGAGTGCACCAAGAGCCTGGTTCCGGGAGAGGCTTTGTGTGTTGCACCTATTGATGGTTGGAATACTACGTATGACTCAACTGGACCTGCTCAAGAGCTGTAGGCGGAAACGAATGTAGTAGTTGAAACCAATATTAGCTTTACCATACTCCTCATTGTCTTCATCTGTTATTATCTTAAAAGACTCGTTTTAGAATAACTATATTGAGGAGAAATTACATGTATTGGTATTTCCTCTGTCTTGCTACAGTCATTGAAGTTGTTAACTACAGAGTTCTCGATTTGTCAATCATAAGAGTGGAGTTATCTCCGCCCCGGAATACTTACTCATACTGAAGCATCCTTTACGCACCGTCTCTTTCTGCTTTAGTCGCACGATTAATGAGCAACTTTCACGAGCCTCGTGAGCTTTGACGAAATGTCTTTCCAGTGGATCATCACTACTAGAGTTGGGTTCACGGAGCAAATTCATGCCGAGGCGCGAGCACGACTGCCTGATTTACGTGCCAACTAATTAGCGCAATCGTGAACAAACATCCAGTGGAGTCTCAACCCTAGTCTTTTTCATTTTGCCGGTCTTCAAACTCTAAAAAAAAATCGTTATAATAACTCCGGCTTGTGAAAGTCCCCGCGAAGTCCGGCAATGGCCGAGCCCACAGTCAGGTCTGAGTGTAGATATCAAAAACACTGTTGGTTGCTGCTTTTTAGGTAATTCAACCTGCATTAGGGTATTTAGAGTTGTGGAGTTGGATGAAAGGTGTTCAATGGGGTAAGAACACGAGAGATGATAACCAACAGCTTAAACTCGGACCGATTTTACTGACCCTGCATGTTATCGCATTGACATGGTGAGGAAGAAACGTTACTTGCCAAGAGTTGTCAACCAACACTCTAGTGCAATCAACAGCATGACTGTCCACGGTTGTCATCCGTGCTGTCCCTCTATCTGGGGCAATACCCAGTGCGGTGTGACATGCCATGGTAATTACTGCTAACCCACTTTCCGGTGAAAAAGCAAACGCGCAGCAAGCTACCCAGTCACTCGTCGGATGACCGGGTGAGATCCGAGCGCAGCAACCTACCGTGAACTTGGATCCCGAGCCCAATTGCTGAGGCCATCAGAGTACATCCAAGGAACGGAGAAACTGCCAGAATTGGCAAACGTACAAGGGAAATAGAACACAAAACGAAAGCTCGTAAGATGGTTGGGAACTCGGTCCAGGCATCCAATACTGTTGAGATTATTTAACGGATAGTTCCGCAATAATTAAATCACTGGCTTCAGCTTCCTCCTCAATCTTTGTCTGAAACGTTACGGGCAGCAATTGGGCGAACGATTCATCATGCACTTCTCCTCTATCATCGCCAACGGTCTTTTGGTCGTTGGTGCTGTTGGGTATAGAGGCCATAGGATTCGTCGTGATGTCAAGCCTGGCGGACCTACCGATACGGGTATCCCATCTGACTGCACCTACTACGACACATGGACCGACGAGACCGCTGATTGCAAGGCTTGGGTAGAGCCTTGGGGAATCACTGTCAAGCAATTCACAGAATATGTAAGTATGGAATTCTTCAGCTGTTCAGTATTTGGAGAATTAGAAGTTCTAATAGTAGTGGTTTTCACCTAGAACCCGACCGTCAAGGACGACTGTTCAGGTATCCAGGTCGGCCATGCCTACTGTGTCGAGGTGAACTTTGGGTCGCCGCCCGAAGATAACCCCCCCAAGATCACCACGACTAAGAACGCTGAACCCGAACCCACGAAGGATGTCAAGCCCAGTCCTACCCAAGACGGACTGATCGAGAGCTGCACAGCTTTCTACATGGCCAAGAAGGGTGACACTTGTAACAAGATCGTCGCCCAGTACAAGACCTTTGACTTCGATGACTTCTTCAAATGGAATCCAGCCGTTGACAAGGACTGTAGCGGTATCTGGGCCAATACCTGGTATTGCGTTGGCGTTCCAGGAACACCAACAAGCCCTCCGACAAAGACTATTGTAACTACAACCAAGCCCACAGGCGTGCCTAAGCCGACTCAGACACAAGAGGGACTCATCGAAAGCTGTTTATCATTTCACATGGCTGTCAAGGGCGACACTTGCGCTAAGATCGTGTCGAAGTTCGGTACCTTTGACTTTGATACTTTCTACAAGTGGAATCCTGCAGTTGGCAAGGACTGCAGTGGCATCTGGGCAAGTTACTACTACTGTGTTGGCGTTCCTGGTACCCCTACTGCTAAGCCTTCGGCCACTATGCCGAAGCCGACAGCGACTGGTGGCATTGAGACTCCGTCTCCTATTCAAGAGGGTTTGGTGAAGAACTGCAACAAGTTCCACCAGATTGCATCGACCACTACTTGCTCTTCCATTGAGTCATACTATAAGCTACCGTTGTCCCAGTTCCTTTCGTGGAATCCCGCTGTTGGCAAAGACTGCACTTCTCTCTGGAAAGGCTACTGGGTCTGCGTCAGCGTTGAAGGCTACAAACCAACCACCACAACAACAGCCAAACCCACTACTACCAAGCCTGCAAATGGCATTACAACACCTTCACCTATCCAAGACGGCATGGTCAAGAACTGTAAGAAGTTCCACCAGATCAAGTCCACCACTACCTGCACCTCCATCGAGAACTACTACAACCTCCCGCTCTCAACCTTCCTCTCGTGGAATCCCGCTGTTGGTAAGGACTGCACTTCGCTTCTTGTCAACTACTGGGTCTGCGTTGCAACTGTCGGCTGGAAGCCCCCTACAAAGACGACTACAAAGGCCGCCACGACAACCAAGGGCTCTTCCAATGGAATCAAGACGCCTCCTCCTGTGCAGGCTGGCATGGTCAGCAACTGCAACAAGTTTCACACGGTAAAGAAGACTACAACTTGTGCTTCCATTCAGAACTATTATAAGATTTCTTTGGCGGACTTCGTCAAGTGGAATCCTGCTGTTGGTAAGGAATGTAAGGGACTATGGGCTGACTACAACGTCTGCGTTGGGGTCATTGGTGGAACACCGACCAAGCCGGGTAATGGGGTCGAGACGCCTTCGCCGATCCAGGCTGGATTGGTTAGCAACTGCAAGAAGTTTCACCAGGTCCAGTCAACAACAACCTGTGCGTCTATTCAGAAGTACTACAGTATTTCTCTTGCGCAGCTGGTGATGTGGAATCCGGCAATCGGATCTAAATGCACAGCCCTCTGGGCCAAGTATTGGGTTTGTGTTGGTGTATGATCCAATTAGTATAGCTACACTCAGAAGAGAGGAATGTATACCCACGACACGTTCTTGAATAGATGTAACATGAATTACAATGTGAACTCTCTTCTACATAATTTCTTTGCGTAGATACCATGATACGTGATTCGGCAGAATTGGTCCTAAAAGAGCCACGTCTCCCTTATTTGTTAATGCCGCTATTCAGTACTTGACACCATTTGATCGTCTATCTCTCACAAGTTTCCAGATACCAATAACTAGAATTCTGCCAGCCCGACTACAATGCCAACGGTCGCGGATATGATTGAGCTTGTATGGCGTCCTCCTCGACGCCTACCGTAAGCCATCAAGCACATGACGTTGGTGAATTATTGTTGTAAACATAGTAATAGCTTAAGCGAGTTTTACCAAATGCACCTCTTATTAGAGCATTACATCTATCTCAGTCCTTTCAAAACCGATAACATTCTCCAATATCCTCCAATCCCACAGACAACATCTACACCAAGCACTAGCAGTACAGAGATGCCGTCGATCTCAGAGATAATTGATTTCCTATGGCGGCCCCTACGAAAAGAACCAGGAGCCAAGAGGCGTCTACTTAATAAGAGAGATCCAGCAAATGCCTAGTATTATTATAACTAGGGGTTTATAGTTTACTAGATATATTATAGTCCTAACTTAGGTAAGCATTAAGGGACACTTATTGATATAATAACTTAATAAACTTACCTTATACTTGGCTACTATAAGGCTAAAATAATATATTAAGAGGACTAGAAATAGAAGTAGGGTTTATATGTATATAAAAGCAAGTATATAGATAACATAAACTAATTAAAGAAGCTATTTTGTCTTATAGTAAGAGAAGACTTATTATTACTTAATAGTCTTAATACTATTAAAATTTAAGAACTGTATTATAAGGAGCTTCTAGAGGCTAGGAAGAATATTAAAGGGGTAAAATCTTGCTTTATCTTTATTATTAATAAGGCTATCTTAAAAGATATTGCCTATAGAGTGTTTATAATTAAAGTTATTGGTTATAATTAGGATAAGGATTAAGCCAGGCGGGGTTAAATAAGAATTCCAACCGGCAATATGCTAAGCCTTTAGGAGTTACTTTTACTATATAACTTTATTAGCTTTAATATTTATGTGGAGATTAAGTATTACTGGTTTAGAGAGGAGTTAGAAAGGTATACTTAGCCAGGTAATGCCTCTATTTATCTAACTGGCAGCTATTCCAAAGCTCAAACTGCATGTCTACAAATTAGGTCTAGATATTCTCAGTTCCGGCTTAATTACTAGTAGACAGTTAAGTCAAGATTATAACTGCATTTATATCTCTATATATATATAAAGTGCTTGAGCACTGGGCTATAATTACAGCATTAATCCCAACTTTATGGCAATTAAACTCCCGAATTTTGCGCCATCTGGTCCCTCTACGTCGGCAGAGCATTAGTAATGCCAATACTGTTGGCCAACACCTCATGTGGGTCTCTTTGTGTTTGCTGCCTAAAGAAAAGGAGCTACTTCTCCCTCTGTTTTTTTGCAACGTGTTAACCTCTCTTCCTCTTTAATCTTGAAAGAGCATCGCCGTCGTACCAGCAGAGCCTGAAAATGGCAGAACTATTAGAAATCCTGGATCTCTTATAGAATCCTCCCCGAAAAGCTGAACGCCATCCTGAGATGCTAAGACTCAACCGATTTAAGCCCGAGGATTTCGAATACTACAAAAACTAGGGGTTTGCGATATATCGCACATATTATGGTCCCGAATCAGATCATAGCTAGAATGTCCTTCTCCAAGCATTGAGGCAGCAAACCCTACTCTCCATCGGGTATTACGAGAGTGACGAGGCTGAAGAGCTCTGGAAGAGGGACATTTGGCGGCACGGGTATTACAAAAAGAAGGACAATTATTTAGCCTTACTGGACATATTTAAGAGCTTGTTTCATCTATTTCCGCATCAGGATCCTTCTTATCTTAAGGGTCTCGATATTAATGGCATATGAGAGGTTTGCTAGAAATAATATTATAAGGCAAAAGAGAAGATAGCAGGGGCTAAGTTCTGTTTCGCACTGGTCGCTGATAAAGCGGTACTGGATAGCATCGCATGAAACGAATTTGTGGTTAAGGCAGTCAGCTATAACTGGGATTATATCGATAATGGTGGCTGGGGTTAGGTATGGCTAGAAACAGGCCGTTTGCTTGAACTTTGGGAAGCACTTCTGCTTGCCGACTTACAATCTACTAATAAGTATTACTGGATGAAGTGTGATGGGCCAGAGAGCGATTTAGAGACCGACATCTGGACTGGAGACTGGTCCCTGCCTTAGACATTTACTCTGAACTTCAGACAACAACTGAAATATCTTAGTTACAGTTTGACTATTAATTGATGAAATGCCGCTTTATAGCTCTTGTGTTATATATATACGATCCCTTGTTTAGTCGAATTATAAAGGAAATGATTATGGCAATACTTCTAGTGGCCACGTCTCTGGTTAGCTTGTCTTGCAAACGAGATATTTGGTAATTATTTATGTATTTTAGGTAAGTATAATTCGTTACTTCTATAGAAATTAGCTTTATTAAGTGCCTTCTAATTTATAGAGAGTTTCCTGGCTACTGTTATTACTGTAGTAAATGCATTTTTGTATCTTAGAGCATTTGCTTATAGGCTCCATGTCCTAGCTACCAGGCCATATATACTCCTCTAGGTCCTCTTCTAGACCATCAAAAGATAGCACCGTATAGTAATTATCATCCCTTCCTATAAACAAGTGCTAAAGGGCAAGCAGATATCCCGTTAGTATTCTTACCTAGCCCTAATTATTCCAGCCATCCTCCTAATTATATAAGACTGCCTTAATAATAAACTTGCCTTTTTCTATAGCTTTAAATACTATTCTATTAGCAAGAAGAATAAAATTAAACCAACGCCCTGCCATAGCTTCTTATTCCTTAGGTCTATTATAAAGGCACATTTTACAGATCTCATAAACTCCAAGGCCACTAAGTAATAAATCCTCACGAATTTCAAGATAAAACAAATCTTTAATTTATTTAATATTATCTAAATACTCCTTTTAGCTTTAATAATACTAGGCTTTTAGTAAGAAACCAGCCTATTAATGCATTAGCTTATCTTTAAAGGGCATATCTTAATAGTAACTAACTGCAAGCATAGTTTGCCATTTTAAAGCATTAAGTAGCAAATCCTATTGCTTATTAGACTTAAGACTATAGTGCATGCAGTAGATAATATAACCCCAGTAACCATAGTACTTTAAGTTTTTAGGAAGGGTTCTATTAAGCTTCTCTTTGCAATGAATCCTCCCCTGACGTATGCTAGGAGGCTGCCATAGCATGTTAATCATTTCGTAAGGCCTGGCCATATTATCGAGGTGTTGCTAGTGCCTAATATAATGTAAAGAAATGGAAATGCGGGCGCGGTTTATATTGATGTTGTTACTTGTAGAGGGGAAATGATGGAAGGGAAGTGTTCTCCATTTAACGTACATAATAAGCGAGTGCAACACAACATCCCAACATCTCAAATAGAAATAGCCATAAAAACATAACAGACTATTAATTAAGTAAAATTAATTACTATATCCTTCTAGAGATATAGCCATAACTATCTAACAGGTCCTTGCATTATATCCTGTCTTGCCGCATGCTCTATAGCGCCTTTCCTTCCTTCGTGTAGGCCCTCCTTGACCACTACTTCTCGATAGTCTAGCTACCGCCTGCGCATTAGCATCCGTTTGGTTAATTACTTGCCTTCCTTCCTCTACTATCATTACACCTCCTTTCTATAACCGGGTTCTTTTTGCCTTATGCTGTTGGCTTAGTATCTTATTTGCCTGTTTAAGATCTTAGGCCCTGGCCTCTAATAAGGCAACCTTATATATAACTATCTTTGTTCCCTTAGAAGAAGACCTTAATGCTTCTAGAATTAACTCTAGAGAGCTACTTTTATGCCTTTTAATTCTCCTTTTAAGATATTTAAGCTAAGAGTTAGCCTTAAGGATAGTCTTTAAGGTCTTTAAGACCTAAGGGGTTAAGGGGCTAACTACCTCCTTTATAGGCGTTGGAGTCTGTAGCTGCATATTGAGCTTTAAGATTACACTTTTAGGGTTAAGAGGAGTAAGTCTGGCTCCTCTAAAGGCTACTTTAATATTTTTCTCTATTATTATGGCCTAGTAGGTAGTATAAAAAGCCAGGAAGAACTCGGTTTTAGAAATATAGGTTATAGAGTATCTAATTAAATACTTTATTTCTTGCCTATAAGCCTTCTTAAGCAGGCTAAAGTACCTAATATTAAGAGGCTATAGTAAATAAGATAAATAAGGCAATATATAAAGTATAATAATTTTATTTACCTTATAATATCTCTTAAAGTTAACTAAGTAATAACTTTTATATCTATTAAGGATTAGGAGATAATAGTAATTCTTTAATTACTTAGTAATATACTAGTTAAAGTGCTTTAGCTACTTAAGTCCTATCTTGTTATCTATCTAGCTATTAGGGCTTATCGCAATAGCCTAATTGCCTAGGAGGCTGCTTTCTCGGTATTAGTTGGCGAGGTGATATTGGCCTGCGCCTATAATAAACGGCGGGATTGCTTGGCCCTTGGCATTAATTGCCTAAATAACTGTAATCTATTCCTGGTTTCTAGGCTATACTGATTTTAGTCTTTTATGCCTTTTAATACCTATAATAACTATTCTGCTTATAAAAATGCCTATTATAAAGCTAGTCTTATTAAAGTTATAAATTTTATTAGGTTAGATATTATACTTAATAATTATATTTACTATAAGCTTAAATTAGTTATAAATAATAATTAGATCTTTATATTTAGCTTTCTAGTAGTTATATTTATAGAATAAATATATCTTAAGGTCTTTATGTTGCTTAATAAAGTTAGAGGCCTAGCGCTTGCTAATAGGCGGCATCTTGCGGTTGGCGAGTAATTAGTTAGCTATTTCCTTAATATAATGCAGTTATAGGGGGAATCCTCGCAAATCTAGATTGAGAATAAACTGAACTATAATCTGTTCCTCTAGATTAGATAGTTTGCGTGATTTTAGGATAGAATTACGTGTAGAAAGGATACCCTTCTATTAGCAATATATAGTATTATAGGGAAATATACTGAAGTATGTTTTTGGCTTGTATTATTTAGTATACTTATATAAATATTAATATATCTTATATTAAAAGAATATATATTAGAGTAGTGATAATAATGCTAGAGTTATAATATAGTTTTTTTTAAGTCTTATTATAAAGGTCTATACTGCCTTATTTTTTAATACTAGCTAACTACCTTAAACTATATACCTATTCCAAGTTACTATATATTTTATATTATAACTGCTATAAAGCATCCTTTTAACTAAGGCTATTTAGTATTTAGTATTATATAGAGTTCTTTTCTTTAATTAGTATATATTATAGAATTTCTAAGTTAAGTATAATATTAGTCTTAAAAAATCAGTCTATATATAGTATAGGCTAAAGTTATATAATTTTCTATTAAGTTTTAGCTACTTATTTTACCTAAATAATAAACCTTATTTAGATTTTAAGACTTAATAACTTGCTT